GTGTGTGGGTGCGTGCCCAAGATCCCGAGAGGAGAATGGAGGAGAAGGGATTGCAGTGTGGCCATCACCCCCGGGGGGTGATATCTCACTTTCTGTCTCTCTGTCTCTGTCTGTCGAGCACACGTGCCCTATAGCAAAAACCTCTCCAAAAAAAGAAAAAAAAATCCTGGGATAAATGGTGATTTCTGTGAGCAAAAGTCTAGGTACCATTACTTGAATAAACAGATCAGATAACTGTAAACAGTTCACTTTCAACAATTTGAGTGTTGGAAGCGGAACTCAGAAAGTGGATGATGACACTTCTTTTTTTTTTTTTTTTTGGAGAGGTTTTTGCTATAGGGCGCGTGCACTCGCCAGACAGAGAGAGACAGAGAGATAGAAAGCAAGAAATCACCCCCCAGGGGGGATGGCCACACTGCAATCACTTCTCCTCCATTCTCCTCTCGGGATCTTGGGCACGCACGCACACGTGCCCGGCGTGAGTTTAAGCCAACGGGTCTGGGACTCGAACCATGGTCGACTACGTGGGAATCCAGTGACAAAGCCATTACGCTAACTGATGGTCCCCGACTTCTTTAGGGAATTACTAGTTGGAGCAAGAAAATTCTGAATGCAGGACCCAGCAGATGGTGTAATAGTTATGTTCCTGGACTCCCATGTAGTGGACTGTGGTTTGCATACTGGACCCAGCAGCTTAAAACTCACGCTGGGCATGTGTGCCCAAAATCCCAAGAGGGAGAATGGAGGAGAATGTATGGCGGTGTGGCCATCACCTCCGGGAGATGATTCTCACTTTCTCTGTGTCTGTCTTTCTAGGGAGTGCAAGCGTCCAATAGCAAAAATCTCTCACACAAACAGGAAAATTGTGATTGAACTAAAAAGAAAGAACAGTGAACAACAGAGTGGAGAGGTAGCTGGAAGAGACTTTCACTAAGTCAAGCATCCTCCAGTTGGTTTTAGGACATTCTTTCCCCAAGTTGTGTGTGTATGTATAAATGTGTTTATTTATTCAGAGATGTTTGTCCTAGACATATCTCTTACAGATAATCCATGATGGAGTAGAACGGGGGTGAATTTGATGCCATATAAGAATATGTTTAAGAATTGAGGTTGAGGGAACCAGCAGTTAGCGTAATGGCTATGTCGCTGGACTCCCACGTAGTCGACCATGGTTTGCGTCCCGAACCTGGTGGTTTAAAACTCACGCCGGGTGTGTGTGTGTGCATGCCCAAGATCCCAAGAAGAGAATGGAGGAGAAGGTATTGCGGCATGACCATCACCCCTGGGAGGTGATTTCTTGCTTTCTGTCTCTCTGTCTGTCTGGCGAGCGCGCCCGCCCTATAGCGAAAACCTCTCCAAAAAAAAAAAAAAAAACTTGAGGTTGAAGGACCAGCAGGTGGCGTAATGGCTATGTTGCTGGACTCCCATGTAGTCAACTGCAGTTCAAGTCCCAGACCTGGTGGCTTAAACTCACACCAGGCATGTGTGCGTGCACGCCCAAGATCCCGAGAGGAGAATGGAGGAGAAGGGATTGCGGTTTGGCCATCCCCCCTGGGGGGTGATTTCTCGCTTTCTGTCTCTCTGTCTCTCTGTCTTTCTGGCAAGTGCATGTACCCTATAGCAAAAACAAACAAACAAACAAACAAACAAAAAACAACTCAAAAAAACTCAAAAAAAAGAAAAAAAAAACTGAGGTTGAATTCCTACCATTATGAAAGTTGGCTTCTGTCTAGGCTGATCCTGTGTTTCTAGATCTAGTAGACCATATGGGGTGTCATATACTAAATTGTTAACAGTGACCACCCCATAGAGAGGTAGCTATAAGGGCAGACTTGAAAGAGGACACTCTCACACGTACTTTTTATAGCTATGAAATGTGAAAACTCCTTCTAAAGAAGAGTTTTTATTATTATTTATTTTAAAATTTGACCAAAAAGAGAGAGAGCAAGCCACCAGGTCTGGAACCTGAGCTACCGTCAGCCATGTGGAATTCCAGTGCCTTAACCACCACGTCACCTGCCGGCCCCATAACAACTCTTAATAATAAACATGTATTAAATTAATTTTCAAAAACGTTTAAAAAAGGACCACTGTGGCATACACAAAATTAATTAGGAAAGAAAATTTTCCCTCTTTTTTATTTTAAGAATTATTTTACTTTACTTATTTATATTTATTTTAATTTGACCAGAGAGAGACAGAGAGAGGGAAAATGAAAAAGCAAGCCGCCAGGTCTGGGACCCAAATCACAGTCCACTAGGTGGGAGTCCAGTGCCCTTAACATACCACCTGCCTGCCCCTGTAAAATTTTTTATTTAAAAAAATTTTTAAGAGGTTTTTGCTATAGGGTGCATGCACTTGCCAGAAAGACAGAGACAGACAAAGAGACAGAAAGTGAGAAATCACCCCCCGGGGGGATGGCCACGCTGCAATCCCTTCTCCTCCATTCTCCTCTCGGGATCTTGGGCCGGCATACACATATTCCCTGCATGAGTTTAAGCCACTGGGTCTGGGACTCGAACCGTCGTCCACTACATGGGAGTTCAGTGATGTAACCAACTGCTGGTCCCCAAATTTTCCTTTCTTTAACCCTCTGGGAATGAGAGAGATCTGGTGGGGGGAAATGGTAGAAGGGACAAATCTGCTAGTGTGTACTTTTCACAGCTACTCTTCACTTACTTTTTCTCAGTCTCATAATAGACTTTAGCATTCTCATCTGACAAAAAAATCTCCAAGTCTTTCTGTGGGATGTGATCTCTGGCCTCCCCCTCCTCTTTTTTCCCTTTAGGACAGAGTCTCATTGTGTCACAATCCTCTTGCCTCAGCCTTCTAGCCGGGACTACAGGTGCCAGCCACCACACTGGGTTGTCTCTGCTTCAGTCTCCTCAGGTTGCCAGGATTCGAGGAACACAACACTGCATCTGACCTTTTGGTTGGACCAGGAAGTGAACCCAGGCCTCCCATAGGTCTCCAGCAGTACACTCCCCCATGGCTAGGCACTGGAGTTCCTTTTACAAGGGATTTATCAGCGATGACTCATCAATGTGAAAAACCACCAAGTGAGCATCAATAAGGGCAATCTCTGTTGAATGCCAAAGGGAGCAATGCTGGTTGTCTGCTGCTATCTTTCCCTGCATGCCAGAACTTCACTGGGGTAAATCCAGCAAGCACTGAACACAAATACAGGTGGCTCAGTAAAGTTGTGGCTTATGACTAACGAGAGGTGGAAAAAGAACCAGCGTGAAACATAATGCCAGGGCAAGCGACAGCACAGTCTGGGTGGCTACACCTCACAGAGGAAAAACACAGGTAAAAAAGGCCCTAAGAATAAATCTCAAAATGTCAGCACATGCTTCCTTTGCACAAACTTTCCAGAAAAGAGCACAAGATGTACTCGGATGCTTCAATCAACATTTCCATTTTTCTAAAATATGCTCAAAAAGGTTGGAAGACCACGTACCAGAAAAAATTCTAGAAACATTGCAGTATGGTATTTAAATAAACAAACAAAAAACAACTGCATATTAAGATATCACTAATTAGGAGGTAAACTTTACTAGAAAGGTCAAAAGGTCATACTTTTTTTTTTCCATTTAAAGAAAACATTCTAATGTGTTAACTATTGGTGTTTTCTAAGTGTTATATAAAACTATCGGTACTGGCTTTTGCCAATAGGAAGTCTAGAACTGTATTCTGAAATACGCATTTCAAAGCAAAGGTCAAGATTTAAGAAGGGCAAACACATTAATGACATTCTTATTCTGTTTTCTCAATCACACAGAAAGGCTGGGAGATTCCTGGAGACAGTTCCATCAGACACTATTAGAGCTAGGAATTTAATCCAAACCTTCAGGTCCTAGTTCTCTGTTCTATCCACACAGTCTGGAGATGAACAAATGTTGGAAATTTGTACCGCTGAAAGTTTTATGAGCCAGCCCACAGTGTGATGGTTAAGGCAGCTGGATCCCACATGGCTGACTAGGCGTTTTGAGTCCCAGACCCAACGGCTTGAGAAACACACACTGTGTGTACATGCCCAAAATCCCCAAAGGAGGGAGATGGGAAGTAGGGACTGCGCATGACCCTTACCTACTGGGGCAGAGGGCAGAGGAGTACTTTCTCGCTTTCCCCCGCTCTTTCTCTCTCCCACCTGTGCAGGCACTCTTTGGCAAAATAAAAGGGAAAAATGTTTTATAAAACATGAAACTTTTGTCTTTTAATTTCTATTGTAAAAGAAATTTTTTTTTTTTTTTTTGCTATAGGGCGCATGCGCTCGCCAGACAGACAGAGAGACAGAGAGCAAGAAATCACCCCCCAGGGGGGGATGGCCATGCCGCAATCCCTTCTTTCTCCTCTCGGGATCTTGGGCACGCACACGCACCTGGCGTGAGTTTAAGCCACCAGGTCTGGGACTTGAACCATGTTTGACTACATGAGAGTCCCGTGACATAGCCATTATGCTAACTGCTGGTCCCTAAAAGAAAAAAAATTTTTTTTTTGGAGAGATTTTCACTGTAGGGCGCGTGTGCTCGCCAGACAGACAGAGAGAGACATAGAGACAGAAAGCGAGAAATCACCCCCCAGGGGGGATGGTCACGCCGCAATCCCTTCTCCTCCATTCTCCTCTCAGGATCTTGGGCATGCACGCACATGCGCCCAGCGTGAGTTTTAAGCCACCGGGTCCGGGACACAAACCGTGGTCGACTACGTGGGAGTCCAGCGACATAGCCATTACGCTAACTGCTGGTTCCCTCTAAAAGAAAATTTTTGAAGAGGCCACTGCTTGCCATGCTAGAGCCTGAAGCCGCACACTTATTACCTGACCATTCTCATAAGTGGTTCTTCTGGTAGGTGAGCCCTAAAAAGTGAAGACCTTCTTCCTTCCCAATTGCACAGTGCTAACCTGGTTCTAGTCTTCTTGTCTCCTGGGTCTGGTCTACTTGAGTGGTATGCATTTTACAACCTGCAGTCAGATTTCTACAGCATTCACAGTATTATTATCTTACTATCTAATCTACTGTTGCCTTTTGTCCCAGTACAAACATCTAAAACCACTCTGTTCTATTAAAGGGTGTTGGAAGAAAGGCATTTGATGTACTCAGTCAAGTTCTCCTGCTTGGTAGTGTTTCCAGTTGCCAAATGCTTTCCATTGTGACCCTGAACAAGGAAGTGATAAACTGGGACAAAGCTCAAGACATCTCCCCCCTGCTCTGGGCAACAACAGAACTAGCATGAAAATGGCCTGTTGGCTATTTCACCCAACTACGTGTCTCATCTAAAAATAAAAGCCAAGTACACACCTCTTAGTTTTTTTGCATATATTTACAATATAAATACTTTGTTTTCAAAGTACATTTTTTTTTTAACAATTTGAGAAAGTTATCTAACTTGGGACAGCAATTTAATGTAAAGCCTCTATAGTAGTGATTAAGGAAAAATAGACCTTTGGGAGGATAAATAACCCTATTAGGAATATGAAAGAGCATGATGATCCAAACTTGCCAGGGGATCTGAAGCCGTTTAGTCCGCATTGCACTGCCGATACAGCATATCTGGAAGGACTACTGTATGAGATAGCAACCTGGATGGGGTATTGTAAAAACTAAACTCGAGGGTTATAAAAAGTACACATGCTTGCATAGTGCATTAATCTTAAAGAAGCTCAACATTTCATTTTCAATAACTTAAATGAATAGTACTTAAAACACATCACACAAAATTAAAGACTTGTGCATATATTTCAGATTTCAAAGTTAATGTCAAAAATACATAGTATGATTTTACATGGGATTTGTGCTACATTGGAACACTAGAGACAAACATCACTTGAGTATTAAGGAAAACATTAAATATTAAATAACTGAGAAATAAAATGTGTAAACACTAATCTAACGGGGGGTTTGCTATTGCAACATGTCCAACGAAGTGGTTTTGACAGTACAAAAGGGATTAGGATATGAGTGTTTCCAGTCTACTTGGAATACGTGGATCTCATTTCAGGAATCCTTTAATAAAAACTGGTCCAGGATTATAGGAGAGGATCCACTCTCCTGAGCATTCATTTGGTACACTCCGTTCTACGCTAATTTTCACTTTTGAACTTGGGTACTGAGCAAATACTTCGATAGTCACTCCTTATCAACATCTTGGTGAAAACTGAGGGTTTGTTGGCGATTCAGTGTAAGATTTGAGTTCGTACGCAGCACCGCTATCAACCTCCATTGACTTTCTAGAGAACAGGAGCCGAACGTCTCTATGGAGGTAGATCTTTCCAGATTTAGAACTCTGGAACCTAAACAAAGAAACAAAGAAAGGAATCACTTAAGGGAATGAGTTCTTAAAACAAACAGACTTGAGTCATTAAAACTTGAAAGTAAGAAGAATTAATCTTGCTGTGTTACTAGGTTAACACAGATTTTTTTAGAACGACATGAGAAGCCCTGAATTCCCAAAACATGGGCTCCTATTGTACCTTTAGTGTATCTCCCTTATTCCTCCCTGAACGTTCTGCTCCTTTTCCCTCTTACAATGCCTGAGATGCTTCTTCCAAGTCTGGGTTTCTAATGCAGTTTTCGGTTCCCTCCCTGAGCTCACAGCACATTCACCTTTATCTACACTGTCAAGTTGCAGTTCCCATGAGCCAGTTACAGCTGGGCTGTGCAGAACCAGAATCTTCTAGGTAGCCAGACTGCCCCATTTCAGATGACTTAGCCTCCCATGATTTGAGTTAGACTAAAAAGAATTCCACACTCGAAATGTCACCACAGAAAATACTCATGTTTTGAGAATAACCACAGGATCAGAAAGAACTGCTATCATCAGTGGTGGCTAGCTAAATAAAATTCAGCCATTATCAAAAGCAAGAGGAGAGTTAGCAGTAAAATGAAAATAGCTTGCACAGCTATATATGAAACGGTTTCTCTACCCGACTAATAACTGTAGCACAGTGCAGAGAGTTGGCATCTTTGTCACAAAACTGACCTGGCAGACAAACACACCCTATATACTTTTGGGTCATTGGAAAAGTCATGATGTATTTTCTATGCTTTCCTATGCAAAAATGCATCGTGACTTTTCCAATGACCCAATCATTTCTATTTGTTTCTCCCTCAGTGTAGCAGAAATATTATCTGTGTTTATGAATTTTATCCCTAAATTAGCTGAAATACTTACTGGTCAGTTCTATAAGTAAAAGTAGACCTGTAACTAGCTCTTTCCATTTCTCTTAAGTTTTTCCAAATTCCTAATTTGAAGGAGAACATGGCAAGCTTTGGGGAAGTATACCATTTTCCCCAAATGGGTTTCTTTAGAGTATCTAAAGCATACAGTCATTATGTAGGGATTACAAAAGCAGAGGTAGTTTAATTTTCTTTAAAAGAATTATTTTATTTAACTTTATTTATTTATTATTGACTAGAGAGGGACAAAATGAGAGAGAGAAAGTGAGAAGGCAAGCTGCCATTTCTGGAACTTGAACTGCTGTCGGCCATGTGGGAGTCCAGTGCCCTTAACCACCATGCCTCCTACCAGCCTAGTGGTAGTTGAATTTTACTCTGGTTACTGTTTGTTACATAATGCTACAATTGTTAAATTTCAGGATGAATAGTGTCACATGGAAGTTTACTCAGAGTGTGTTAGGTTGAGCTGGGAGATATTCTTACAGTCTACTATTTAAAAACATTTCTCTTTTTAAGTTTTCCAGGTCTGTGTGTGGTAGATTTTTCATTCCCACAATCTATGTAACAGTACCCATAAGGCTGAAGTGTCAAGTTGGGTTCAAAATACACTGTGCAAGTTAAGCATGTCTCTTGGATACAAATGACCAGGCAAAAAACCAAGATGAGAGAACCAATTAAGAAACATTTTGCAGGACCAGCAGTTGGTGTAATGTAATGGCTATGTCACTGGACTCCCATGTAGTCGACCGCTGTTCAAGGCCTGGACCCAGTGGCTTAAACTCACACCGGGCACGAGTGTGGTGCCCAAGATACCGAGAGGAGAATGGAGAAGGATTGTGGCGTGGCTATCCCCCATGGGGAGTGATTCCTCACTTTCTGTCTCTTTCTGGCGAGCACACGTGCCCTATAACAAAAACCTCTCCAAAAAAAGAAAAAAAGAAAATCATACCAGGTACCCCATTTACATGTGTGCCCAAAATCCAGAGAAGGGAATGGAAAAGAAGGATTGTGGTGTAAGCATTTCCTCTGGGGGTTATTTCTCACCTTCCCTTTCCCTCTGTTACTCTCCGGCAAATGCATGCACCCTATAGCAAAAATTTTAAAAATAAAGTCTCACACCAGGAATTGGCCCTGGCGATGTCTTTTATGCACTTTTACTTTCGTTGTAGCTGTTTCTTCTTACTCATTTAGGTAATTTTAATTTGCCAAAAGGCATGTGCACTTGCCAGAGAGAGGGAGAGAAAGAAACCCTGGAAGGTGATTTCTCACTTTTCCTCTCACTGTCTGTCCCTCTCTTTCTCAAGTGAGCACACTCACCATAAGGCAAAAATCTTAAAAAAAAAAAAAAAAAAAAAAAAAAAAAAAAAGTGAAAATATCCTATTGATCATTTTTATATTATAGTCAAATAACATTTGGATATGTTGGATTAAATAAATTAATCTTAAGTATTATTTTTTTGTGGCTACTGGATAATACAGTAAATATGAGACATACAATAATACATGACTCATACGAGATTTCTATTGGACAGAATTGGTTCACAAAATGTTTCACTACTTCGGCTATATTAACACATGTTTTGACATAAAATACCTTATACTACCAGCACAAGCAAGTGGTAAACTGGTTAAGGCGCTGGACTCCCACATGTCTGACAGCAGTTTGAGTCCCAGACCTGCCAGCTTAAAACATCACCCCAGATGTGTGTGTGCGAACATGCCCAAAACTCTCAGGAGTAAAATGGAGGAGAAGGGATTGTGGCGTGGCCATCTCCCCTAGAGGGTGATTTCTCACTTTCATTCTCACTGTCTTTCTCTGGTGAATGTACACATTTTATAGCAAAAACCACTTAAAAAAGAGGGTGAGGTTAAGGCACTGGACTCCCGAGTGGTCAACTCAGGTTTGAGGCCTGGACAAAGTGGCTAAAAACTCATGGTGGGCAAGTGTGCATGTGTGCCCAAAATCCTGAGAGGAGAATGGAGAAAGAGTTGTAACACGGCCATCCCCTCTGGGGTGGGCAGGGGTGATTTCTCACTTTCCCTCTTTCTGTCTCTCTCTCTCTCTCTCTCTCTGGCAAGTGCACACATCCATGACAAAAACTAATTAAAAACAAAACTAATAATAATAATAATAAAACTTACACTAAATAGTTACACATGAAAACTGTCCTAACTCAACAAGTAATAATGACTGCAGGAAGGCATGGACTGTTTTCTGCATCTTGGCACTTCAAGATTTTCCAAGAAAATTAAAGTCCAAAGAGCACTGGTCACAGCTTCTAGAACTTCAGAGCTGTTCTAAAGTAATATATTTTCATGTTCATTTTAAATATTACCTCAGATGTATGAGGTAGCGTAATAACCGTTCTTCTGTATGTTGGATATTCTCCCTATGAACACTCCTCTTCATGTCTTGTTTAACAGGTACAGAAAACGTTCTTTGTCGTAGGAATGTCTGATGATTGGCTGGCATATCTCGTAAGTCATATATCACAACAAACATCTTCACCACAGTCTTATTAGGATTAAATAAGGTCTGAAGAAACAATAGAAATTATTATTCAAAAACAATGATTTGTAGTTCTGACTCAGAATGATTTTCCAATAACTAAATAGGCTCTTAACACAGTAACCCTACTGGATATAATTCAGTTTCAGGGACTAAAGTTAATGAAGTTTCAGAGGCTTACAAAATAATATTAAATATGTTTAAAAGGTTCAGTTTTTAATTTTACAATAGTTCAAAATTCTCTAACACATAAAAAATCTTTAGTCACAAATTTTGCATTTGTGACACTATATGACACTATATAACTCTTACTCTTTATTCAGATTTTTACAAAAGATTGTTCTGCTAGTTTAAGTAAAATACAGGATTAAGTCATTCCAGTTAAATTATTTCAAACATTAGCTTTGTTACAGAATAGTAACTGCAAAATTCTCAAAATTGAATTTTAATTTTTCTTACATTTTAATGAGAAGTAAGTATAATTAAAAAAAAATTCCAAGCTCAGTAAGACTAGAATTTTTGGTATTTTAGATACAATATATATGTCTACTTAAATTTTAGAACAGGTGCTCAGAAAAGAAATTTTCTTATTTAAAAATTTCCCCAAATTTAGACAATAAAACTCATTGATATTAGATTGAAAGTAGGCTAAATAATACTTCATGTTCTCAAACTTAAAACCATTTCAAAATTTGCAGCAACACTGGGCCTTTAAAAAAAATCATTATTATTACAGACCAAAATATGTATCCTTAATAAAGACTACATTGGATTAAATTGTACGTGGCAATGCATAATTAAAGGAATATCATTTTTAAAGTATTAATTTTAAAACAAAACCCCAAGCTGCTGAGCTGATTTTAACCAAATTACCAACACATCATTAGGTAACTTGGTGCCCATGCTTTCAGAAGCTCATCCATGGCACTGGACAGCACTCACTGAATCAAAATGAGAAATATATCAATATTACGATCCAAGTTTCAAAACGTAGTGAGTCTTAAAACTAAGGCGAATACATTCAACAACCACAACAACTACTAGCAAGTCAGATGTTCATACCATGTTTACACATAAACTATAGAAGGAATGAAAGACATACCCAAATTTCATATTTAAAATTAACCACTAAAGTTGGCAGTCTCCAAACAAGAGGTGAATGTGCTGCCTCTGGGTTTATGCCTCATTATTATGACAACTGACAGCTAGCTTTCCAGTGACCAATACTTTCTCATGAGCTACATAGCCAGGGGCAAGAGAACAGAAGATTATTACCTCTTTAGTTCAAGAAATCCATTTGACATAAAACCATACTTTAATATGCAGTGACATTTCCTCAGTAAAAATTTATATATATGTATATAACATTACAATATATACATACATATATATTACATAGTACTATGTTTCATTCCTGTGTGATATGAAATAAACAAATGTACAGACTCCTTGCAGTATTGAAACAATGGTGGTGAGTAACAGTGATCTGACAAAGAACTGCACACGCTAGCCAAAGGTCATACAGAGGCATGTTGAATTAGTCTGGCTTCTGAGTATAACGAACTAGTCTTCACTAGGCCATCTTTCAGTCTGCCATAGTCTTTTTCTGTCTGCAAACTCTGTCGCAGACTCTCGCGAGGGCTTGCAGGATTATCCTGGCTCAGCTTTAGAAATGAACTCAATTCACAAATTGGCCTTGATATCGAGTTATTCTTAAGAACCCAAGACCTTGTGTGACAAGGGATTCATCTGGGTTGGAAGGGTTCTCCTGAACCAAAACAATATCAACACCTAGACCAAAAGAAATGATGCCTTCTCCACACTGACATCTGTCAAACCCACATTTCTGCTTTGAGTGATCACCTCTTTGGATCAATTTTGTAAATTAGTACACTAGGGATAATATAATTTTGTTTCCTGTGAAAGCAACGAGACTATTTGAGATATCCTTTTAAACAGGTCAATCTCAATCTACCTTATTCTATTAAATAGAAGGCACCAGTGATGTTGAGCTCTAATTACCTTGGAAACAGCTCGATTTAAGTTATGCAAACTGTCATACTACTTTTCTAAAGCATTCACCTTGATTAGCTTATTAATGTTTTCCTTTACGGAGGTCCCCAAATGGTCATTCCTGGGGCAGAGCAGGGAAACTCCAAACAAAGCTGCAGCCCCACTGTTACTTACCAAAGTTGTTGCAGCAGCAGTAGCAGGAGAAAGGGCTAAGTTCTATATGTATGTGAGAGAATGATTATTGCAATTGTAGACTATAAAACACATACCACTTGTATTGTTCCTGAAGGAGGTACTCGATAACCCCTTTTACCAAGGGACTCTAAAGTAATCACACCCTTGAAATAAAAGAAGACAAATTGAGTACAAATTGATGCATATGTATATAAAATAAGTTATGTAATTATTAAAATTTCAGAATTCTATTTCTAAGGAAAAACATTCAAACTGAATTAATAAGATACATTCTATGAGTATGAAATAGTGAAGGTTCCATTGCTAATGAACATTTTACTATTCTTTCTGGAGATGTTTCAACAAACAATATATGACATCAATGGCCATGCTGCTTAAAATTTCTATTAAGATACATATATAAAAGTAAGAAGTTCCCAGACTAAAAAGAAAATAAAGACAGGTTATAGGATTATTCGCATGTATTTAGGGGAACAAGGGAAATAAAAAGAGAAAGCAGTTTATTGGTGTTTGGGCGTGTAAAAAGTCAACATGGAAGGGTATAAGACTTGGCCAAAAATTTAAGATAAATCTTCAGGCAAGGAGTTAAGTTTCATATCTGGATTCCTTAATGAAGATGGGGAAAAAAGTAGAAAGGGAGTTTAAAAGTCTATGGTTTCTGTCTGGTAATCACTTTATGGAGAAGAGATATTCAAAAGCAAGAAGTAGAAAATAATGGCTCAATCACTAACTTTTTTTGAGAGAGATTTTTGCTATTGGGCATGCTTGCCAGAGAGAGACAGAAAGTGAGAAATCACCCACCAAGGGGGGGGGCCATGCTGCAATCCCTTCTCCTCCAGTCTCCTCTCGGGATTTTGGACATGCACACACACACACACATCTGGTGTGAGTTTCAAGCCACTGGGTCCAGGACTCGAACCACGGTGGACCACGTGTGAGTCCAGCACCTTGACCACTATGCCAACTGCTGGCCCCCAATCAACTTTTAACACTTTGGTTTATTTTACATGAAAGTTATAAAACTTGAGTTTTTAGACTTATATTTATTTCCTGAGAAATAATCTTATATAACATTGTACCTTAATTCAGACCTTATTATTACTTATTTTCTGTCTTTTTTTTTGTCATTTATCTCTTATTAAAGAATTACACAATCCAAATTACTTCTACATCAGAATACGATTGAAGGCCTAAGAGCTAAGATCTGAGTCAAAGTTAAAGCTAAATTAGGGTCATTTCATTAGAGAAGTCTAAAAGGGAATATTAGGAGCCCTCCAGTTGTCTGCAACTCAGAGGACGGTCCTGAGACCAGTGTCACCAGCATCACCAGCATCACTTGCAACCTTGTTACAAAGGCAGAATGTCAGACCCCTCTCTAGACCTACCGAAATCAAATCTGCATTGAACAAGATGCCTCAAATGATATTACATGCACAAGTCTCCCTTGGTATCCAAGGGGCATTAGTGCCGGAACCCCTACAGATACACAAATCCACACATACTCCAGTCCCACATAGAAAATACCACAGTATTTGCATATAACCTATGCGCATCATCCTGTATATCTTAAATCGTCCCTATATTAGTCATAATGCCTAGAGCAATAAAAATGCTGTATAAACAGTTGTTATACTGAACTGTTTTGTATTTGTATTTTTTTATTGTTGTGACTTTTGTTTTAATATTTTGGTCTGCAGTTGGTTAAATCCATGGATGTAGAACCTACAGATAGGGAGGACCAATTATACTTTCAAGTTCAAGGAGCACTGCTCTAGTAAAGAAGTGTTTTTCTGAGAAGAATGTTCTAATGCCCCAGAAGTCCAAAGAAGGGGAAAACAGTGTAAATTAAAACAAGATAAGTCCAAATAGAAGGTAAGGAAGCTTTTCTCTAACCAAGAGGACCAAATTAATTATAATACATAATATTCAGATAGTTTAAAAAATAAATCCTGATTCATTTGGTTTAACTGGGCAGTACTCTTCTTTCAAGTAATTAAGACAGTTAAGTAGAATAACCGCATGCCATACATTTCATAATTTCATCATCACACACTACACATGCCCAAACACACCAACCTTAAATAAAAGTAAATGTAAAACAGGACTGTCCCATAAGTGACCTCTCTGTTGGGTTTTGCAATTAGTCCAGGGATGGGAGGTAAAATGGAGTGGACAAGGGTAAAAGGGAGGCCCAGCCTCCAGCATGCGAATACTTCAAGGGAACGACACTTGACAGTAGACTATTCAACTATCACATCAGTATTGGAAAATGGTCATGGAAATGGGCACTGAAAAGACATGTGTGGTTCTTGACAAGTCTGATTTGCCACAGGATCATTCAGGACGAGAAAACAGCAACATACTGACAAGCTGTATACCTAACGGAACCAGCGACGGCGCTTTCACAGTCTCTCACCATCTGCTCTACGTGTCTAGAGAGGAACTACGTACACTAGTGTGGATATTTACTCTGCATGGAAAATGCTAGGCTACATAGCGCCCGTCTTCTCCCTAGTTCCAGAAATAAAAACACACTGAAATAATAGCGACTTCAGTAATTACATCACTACCGGGTGCACACGACTGTTCTTTGCCAGCTTCCCCTCAACAAGTACACAAAGGAAACTAGTGAGGCAAAAACTACAAGTCTACACTCCTCTCCTTTAATGACACAGTTTTAATAGTTCCTAGAACACAGTAATAGTAAGGAAGCAATTCCTAGAGAAAATTTTTAAAAAACCTTTTAAGAAACATTTTAAAACAATTTACAAACAATGTAAGACCAGCAGTGGTATCGGGAAGTTAAGATTTATAGAAACAAGTAGAAAATTACTTGAAATTTTTATTAACAGTATTAAATTTATTCATATCAGTTATTATTTTTTAATAGAGATTTTTGCTATTGGATGTATACATTTGCCAAAGAGACAGAAAGCAAGCAATCACTCCCAGGGGGATGGCCACACTGCAATTTTTTTCCTTCATTCTCCTCTTAGAATTTTGGGAATGCGCACACACGCACCTGGTGTGAGGTTATTTTATTTATTTATTTATTTTTTGGAGAGGTTTTTGCTAAAGGGCATGTGTGCTCGCCAGATAGGCAGAGATAGACACAGAGAGAGAAAGCGAGAAATCACCACCCAGGGAGGATGGCCATGCTGCAATCCCTTCTCCTCCATTCTCCTCTCAGATCTTGGGCACGCACACACAGGCACCCGGCGTGAGTTTAAGCCACCGGGTCCGGGACTAGAACCGCGGTTGACTACATGGGAGTCCAGTGACATAGCCATTACGCTAACTGCTGGTCCCCCTGGTGTGAGTTTTAAGCCACCAGGTCTTGGTGGACTTGAACTATGGTGAACTATGTGGCAGTTCAATCACATAACAATTACACCATCCATGGTCCCACTATTATTTTTTTAATAGTTTTATTATTTTAATTAATCAATATACTAATAGTTATACCTAGAAAAAAGTTACCATGTTTAACATACACAAGAAAAATGCATTTTTTTAAGAGTTTTTTTTGTTATAGGGCACGTGTGTTTGCCAGAAAGACAGAGACAGAGAGATAGAAAGTGAGAAATCATCCCCCGGGGGGATGGCCGCACTACAATCCCTTCTCCTCTTGGGATCTTGGGCATGCACACAAATGCGCCTGGCATGAACTTAAGCCACCAGGTCCGGGACTTGAACCGCGGTTGACTACATGGGAGTCCACTGACATAGCCATTATACCAACTGTTGGTTTTCAAAAACGCATTTTCTTATGGCAATTTTGAATGGAATAATAAGACTAAGATAAACTAAATTTGGTCAATATCTTACTTAAAAACTTCCTAAATTACTGTGGAATAAAGAATATGCAAAAAATAAGTGGAAAACTGAAAGGAATAACTATAAATAGAAAGAAATCATACATAACTCTGTTAACGTGATAAGAATACAAGTTATGCCATCATTTTGTCACTGGCACTTGCTTTAGATACTTCTGCCTGGTTTCACCGCGTACTGGCTCTTACACAGCTAAGTGCTGTCGTATGGCACGTAGAGAACATTATTTGCCACTGAGTCCCCATAAGATGGAGACAGACGGCTTTGAGTTAATCCTTAAGGAACTACTTCATGAAAAGTCCTATGCCACCTCTACAATGTAGAAGATAGAATCTTCTGTGCTAAAATTTTGTCTTTGTGACTCATTTGTGTAATTTGTGATGTGCGGTTCCAAAGTTGTTATTAAAGTAACAGGGCTATTAAAGTAACAAATAGAGGTTTAGTGTCCTCTGTCTACTGATCTGTAATATGTAATTTGTAGTATTTTATCAAAACAGACTAAACTATCAATATATAAATAATCCCTGAAAAAGAGAGTTGAATTAATTTTAAGAATTATTCTATATAACTTTATGTATTTTAATTTGACCAGAGAGGGACAGAATGAGTGAGTGAGTGAGAGAGAGAGAGAAAGTGAGAAAGCAAGCTGCCAGGTCTAGGACTCTAACCGCGGTCAGCGGTGTGGGGGTCCAGCGCCCGCAACCACCACACCACCTGCTGGCCCCAAGAGCTACATTAATTTATAATAGGAAAGTATTTTAGTCTAAGATTTGAACTGGGTCGTTTGCAAAGGGAGTCCATTTCTATAAAGTAAACTGATTTTTAAAAAATATAAGGCATAACTGACTGAGGAACATCAGAGTAAAGGAAGTCAGGAATTCCAGATCCTTAGCTAAATTCTACTGCGATAAGGATCAGATGGGAAGGCACTCTGAGAATTCGTGTCGACTCAGCAAAATAGAATTATAGTGCCACTAACCAATTTTTTATCATTTTTCATATCACGAAAAACGAGCAAACACCATCCTCAAATGCAAAAGAGGTCATCTGTTGTTTGAGCTAGCTAAGAAAGAAATTGTAAAGTAATATATTTGTATATTAGTCTGTATTCAGCCTGTAATGTTGTTAGAAAATGCTTAACTGCACCAAAGCCCTAAAGGACATTTGCCACTAAGTTAAATTTTGCAGAAAAAGATTTTAAAAATACTTGCCATATAAGGAGAGGGAGCATTATCATCTGAAACACTGTAGAATGACACTTCAACTGGAAGAGTCAAATGTGTGGGGCAGAAAACACCACTTGCCCCTACCTCGGCAGTAAAACCGTCAACAATGCCAAGAGGATCTAAACGGTAGTTCAAGACAGATTCCTAGAAGACAAATAAAATAATTTTTAGAACTCTGTTAGAAAACTTCATTCATTCACATTCTTTTTTTTCTATTTAAAGAAACATACTACTATGTGCACTAGCACTAGAAAAGTGGTTATCACCATTGCTACAGCCTCATCTCAGCTGCGCATTTGAATTGAAATTGACCCATGTACATTTTTTTAAAAAAATTATTCACTTAATTTGATGTATTATTTTTAGTTCACCAGAGAGCAAGAGAAAGTGAGGAAGCAAGCTGCCAGGTTTGCACTGGAACCAGTCGGCCACGTGGGAGTCCACCACTTAACCACCACAACACCTGCCGGCCCCTTACTTTTCTTACATTACAACAGGTCTTACAGTATCTTCCACCTGTTTAAAAATGCTTCTGTTTCTGACTGCCTGTAGGAGGAAGTCAAGACTTCAGAGCATACGGTGTGAGCCTCAGCCTGCCTCTCTTGCTTCATCTGTCCTGACTTGTTCAGAGTCCCAAGCTCTGGTTCCACTTGGTTTCTAACATCATCATGCCTTTTTTTTTTTTTTTTAAGATTTTATTACTATTATTTAAAAAATTTGACCAGAGAGAGAAAGGGAAAGTGAGAAAGCAAACCGCCAGGTCCAGGACTCGAACCACAGTCGATCATGTGGAAGTCTAGGACCTTCACCACCACACTACCTGCTGGCCCCTCACCATGTTCCTTTTTTAGTACTTTTGTATATGTGCCTCTGTAAACATAGTTTCCTTTGTCCAGAATCTCTTGCCTCTCCCCAAATAAACTTACTTAGCAAATTCCTACACTTATGTGACCAAGCTCAAGTGATGGTTCCTTGGTAAAACTTTCTGCAAACCCTTTGGCAGAGACAGTGGATGTGCAAGTATTGTGAAAGCATCTCTTACAGTGCTAATTACGTGGAATTATGCATTATTTGCATGTACTTTTCCAGTAGACTATAACTTTAAGGAAGGAATTTTTATCATTAAGCTTTGTATCCTATCATACAACATGACATACAATAGGCACTAAACAAATGTATCTTAAATAAGAAAACTATTCTAAAGATGGGTAAGATTTTGTAAGAAGAACACATGCAAAAATGTTTGTGGTAAGGCAAATGACCAGTGTTAGTTCCTGACTTTGAGATAATTTAGATATTTATTGATTTAATATACTAATAAACATGCTAGGCCTTACTCCGTATTATACAAGAGAACAAAATGAAAGGCACATAGGGTACAAGATGGTGGCCGAGTGGTAGCACAACACTGGGTGGAAGGGTTCCACTTTTCATGCTGGGTCCTCCCTGTGCATCTTAGGTGCACATGTCAGTGATCCCAAGCTGGCTGAGGCCGAGGTGAATCAAGGCATGAGATCCCTGTCTCTCTTTCTCTCAAAAAAGAAGTAAATAAGTAAACTCTGGGACCAGCAGATAGCGTAATGGTCACGTCGCTGGACTCCAACAGTTGACCGTGGTTCGAGTCCCAGCTTAAAATTCACGTGGGGCACATGCGCGTGCCCAAAATCCCTAGAGGAGAGTGGAGGAGAAGGAATTATGGAATGACCATCCCCTTTTGTGGGGTGATTTCTCAATTTCTGTCTCTCTGTCTCTCCAAAGGGCGCATGCACCCCATAGTTAAAAATCTCTCTTTAAAAAAGTAAACTTTAAAAAGAAAAATAAAAGCATCAGCCCATAGCACAGTGGTTAAACATGGTACACTGGGAGGCAGATTCCACATGTCTAATCATAGTTCAGATCCTGGCTCCCAGTGGCTCGAAAAACACCCTGAATGCATGTGTGCATGTGCTCAAAATCTTGATGGGGAAGGGGAAACAGGAAAAAGGATTACAGCATGGCTCTGCCCCATTAGAGAGTGCACCATCTCTCTGAGAAAAGTGTACGTGCTCCAGCAATTAAAAAACAAAACACAGACCATAAAATCAACTTAAAAAAATTTTAAAAGTCAGACCGTGGTATAGTGTCAAAACACTACACTCTACAAGGTCGATCCAGGTTTGCAACTAGAGATCTGAGTACACTACACAAACACGTGTCCATGACCGGTACTGGCTGTGGGTGAATTACAACATGAAGATCCTGTAGGAGGTGCCTCTCTCCCTCTCATTGAAGAAAGAAAGAAATAAATAAACTTTAAAACAAAAAATGAAACAAATTAAAGACACAAATTATGGCCTGAACTTAGGTTAAGAAACTTCAACTCTCAAAATAGTTTCAAAACACATTACCTCAAAATTTCCTAGGAGACTAAGACTTGTTACAGGTGGAGCACTACTACTCAAAAATGGTTTTTCGTGAATATCAGGATCATCTTCAATAGTTAAACACGGTCGAGGACTATTTAAAAAACAAATCAGTGAAAGAAAACATTGAATGTGATATTGTATTATTTACTTTGTACAAAATTAATTAGGAGAGCTTGAACAATTTTATTCAAATTGCCATAAGAAAATCAATGTCACCAAAGTTTTAGATATAAAATTCTTGATTAGATTTTATACTTTTGTTATAATATTTGACATTTATATATATAACGATACACACACACACATCCTAAAAGTTTTAGGGTAAAATTTATAACATGTGTATACTGGCATCTACTGGAAACATACAATAATGCAGACTTCTAAACAATCTTCGTTTTCAGTTAAAATGAGAATACAAAGGTAAAATGATATGACTAAAGAATATAATCAAGAGTATTATTTATCAAAATGGAAAACATTTATGAATGAATGTTTTACACAGGAGTGGAAGATATAAGCTTGATAATTAGAAATGTACTGATTCATTTAAATGTTAAAATCCAGTATGTTTATTACAATGACCAATATATGCTACTCAGTGTCTTAATTTCTTCCTCACTCATCTTTATTAACTATGTCTATTCATATCTTGAAAACAAGATTTCTATTAAACTTTTCATTTTTAGAGTCAATATTTATTATGAAAGATCAGAATTTCGTGAAATTGTTTCACACAGAATTGAATTTCAAATAAATACCTTTTGGATAAGTTTTTCCACAGAAATGAATTTTAAATAAATACCTTTTGGATGATAAGCTTTTCAGATGCAGTAATGAAGAATCAAGGTCAAAGCAACCTGATTGTGTTTTTCTTTGAGGAACCTAAGGTCAAAATAACCATTTGTGATATTTAAAAAAGATTGGAATTTTTCTTGAATTGATAAAACAACTTATCAAATTAAAGTTAAGCATTTTTTAAAAAAACTTCTCCCATAACATCTTTTAAAAGCATGCTATTTATTATATATTGTTATGCTATTTATTATATATTGTTCCTCTTTTTTTTAAGAGAGAGATTTTTGCTATAGGTCACATGCACTCACTGGAGAGACAGAAAGCAAGAAATCATCCCCCAGGGCAGATGGCCACACTGCTGTCCCTTCTCCTCCATTCTCCTCTTGGGATTTTGGGCACAAAAGCACATGTGCCCGGTATGAATTTTAAGCTGCTGGGTCCGGGACTGGAACCGTAGTCAATCATGTAGGAGTCCAGCAACCTAACCATTATGCCATCTGCTGGTCATCAGTTTTCATTTTAATTACTGGTGTGGAAAAGCATTAACCACCACGCCACCTGCTGGCCCAGGATTCTGTTTTTTTTTTTTTAAGGAGCAGAACAAGCTTTTTCTTAAACACAATTTTACATGGAATCCTAATATAAAATATAAATAGGATTTTCACATTCTTAAACTTTATATACTTCTGTATTTTAGGAGGAAGGAAATTTTTATAGCTTTAAAATATAAAAGAAAAAAGAAAGGATTTAAGATAGAAACCTGGGGTTCTACCATCTGTCTCTCCTAGCTCTGTCTCTCCTTTGTCCTTCACAACCATTACGACATTCCCAAGAGCCCTAAGGTTTTACAGATAACAGGTTTGAAAAATAATGCTATAGATTTTAGTCACCATTATATAGCAGATTACATTGAAGACAAACCACCACCTATGGTAAAATATACTAAAAAGACCCAAATGTAAATTAAAGATAGTCATAATATGGCAAGTAAGTTAAACAGATTGGTTTCCAGAATTATTGCTATTCTTTTTTTTTGGAAAGGTTTTTGCTATAGGGTACATGCACTCGCCAGAAAGACAGAGACAGACAGAGAGACAGAAAGTGAGAAATCCCCCCCCCCCCAGGGGGATGACCATGCCACAATCCCTTCTCCTCCATTCTCCTCTTGGGATCTTGGGCACACACGGCCACCGTGAGTCTAAGCCATCGGGTCTGGGGCTTGAACTGTGGTCGACTACAGGGGAGTCCAGCAACACAGTCATTACGCCAACTGCTGGTCCACTTTCAGAATTCATGTTAAGTATGTCTAACTGATGACTAAGAAAACACAGATGACACTGAAAGTCTAAACAACTTCAACCTTTTTTAGAACTGTACAATTTACTATGCTACTTATTGCAGTCAGAACCGTGAAATTTTCAGTTTAAACTCTCATGTCTTCAATTTTGGAAAGTTCTCTTTCTCCATTTAATGCTGCATCTTCCTTATTCTGTCTAGTCCTTTCTTTGGAACTTCTACTGGACTTGCACTGAACATCTCGTTCTAGCCTCCATGGCTCTTTAATATATATTTTTAAAGGTTTTTGCCATAGGGCGCATGTGCTCACCAGAAAGAGAGGGAGGGACGTGAGAAATCACCCCCTAGAGGGATGGCCAAATCACAATCCTCTCTCCTCCATTCTCCTCTAGGGATTCCAGGCACTTACGCGCCCCACCCGGTATGAATTTCAAGTTGCCAGATCCAAAATTCAAAACATGGTTGGCAACATGGGAGTCCAGTGCCTTAACCACCACACCACCTGCTGTTCCTGGCTCTTTCATATTCAACAGTTTCTTTTCCGTTCTGTGCTTCATTCTGGGTACTTTCTAAATATCTGTCTACCCATTTGACAAATATCTATTCAGCTGATTCTAGTCTGTTATTTAATCTATCTATATGTGTGCGCACTTCAAATATATTATTTTTCCTATCTAGAATTTCCACTTAAGCTTTTTCTAAATACGAATGTTCTTTCAACTTTGATCTCAATTCCCTGTCTTTGCCTTCATTTATATTTTCAACAAAAGTATTTTTAACTCTTTCAGGATGCTCTGGTTAACAGCTTCCAATATAAGAGTTCTTCCATTTCTTGCTCCTGCTAACTATTTTTTTAAGGTTTTTGCCATAGAGTACATGTGTGCACCGGAGTGAGACAGAGAGCGGGAGGTAAAGTGAGAAAATAGTCCCATGGGGGACAGTCATGCAAAAAATCCCTTCTCCTTTAGAAATTCTGGGCACGTGTGTATATGTGCCTGGTGGTGCTTCTTAAGTCGCCAGGTTCAGGACTTGAATTACACTGTTGGCCATGTATAATCCGCCATGTTAGCCATCATGCCACCAGCTGGCCTAGTCCAATCCCTTTCGGGGTTTGTTTTCCTCTACCCACTTCACACCTCACTGATGAAATAGGGAGTAAATAGGTAGATTTTTTCCTCCGCTCTGATTTATAGGCTAGCCTGTCCTGGTTTGATGAAGAGTAATTTCAGGTCCCAGCTATAATTGCTAAAGACTTGCATCCAGAGCTCCTGTACTGGCAGGGGCTCTAAACCCATATATTAAGTTCAGATATCCTTGACTGCCATAATTTGCCCGAAGTTAGTACTTGGGGATTTATTCAACCTTCTGAGTGTTATACTATATTATGTATTTGGGTTATATTTCATGTGGGATTTCTGTGTTTAGAAGGGAGGAAGGATCTTTCTGTATCAACTAGGTCCACCATATTGACCAGACATCTGTGGTGCTTTTTTCTTTTTCATTTTTTAAAGAGATTTTTGCCTTAGGGCACATTTGGTTCGGGGGTGGGTGGGGGGAGAGAGCAAGAGGGAAAGTGAAAAAAAATCACCTACCCCTCCCCCCCAAGGAGGAAAGGCCATGCTGCATTCCTTTCTCCTTCACTCTCTTCCCAGGATTTTGGGCACGCACACACATGTGCCCAGTGTGAGTTTTAAGCCATCAGGTCTGGGACTCGTGGTCAGCCATGTGGGAGCCCAAGTACATAACTGCTACGCCATCTGCTGGTCCATGTAGTGCTTTTAACACAGTATAATGTTGATATGTTTTTTCTCCATAGACATGGACATTTTGGGAGCAACTCATAGGTAAGTCAAACATTTGGGGATCTTTGGAACTGTTTGGTATTCAGCTTCTCTAAAATAATACCGAAAGCCAGATTATAAATTTAAATTATAGACTTCCTATTAATAATTATTTTTTGAACACATGCCAAATATGCACTTTGAGTTTACTAAGAAACATATACAACAACAAAAACTATCTTATATTAGTAGCCAAATATACAAGTTTTCAGTTTTGCCACAATACTGACTGCTTACCTCGGTTTTAAGTGAAATGGCAGCCACACCAACTACCACTAAGTGCTTACGTGTGTCAGAACCTATACTAATCATCATCCGAAGATGAAGGTAGACACTGTCATTCCCACTTACAGATGAGGAAACTGAAGCTTTGAGAGATTATGTTACTCATCTGATGTCACATGACCAAGGTGAAGTCAGCGTGTCTACAAAGCTCTGCTTTTAACCACTGTATTCAGATACAGAAATCTATTTGTAAATGTAGAGTGAGTAGATTAACATATCTCAAAATAAGATGATTAAGTGAATAGGTTCCAGTCAAAGACTGTCTGAATTTAATTCCTAGATGACCCAGTTGATGATGTCAGTAAGATATAAATCTATTTACATAAAATCCATCTGACATTAAATTTGATTTTTCCATTTAGTAACAATGATAATGTTGGGCAGGGGAATATCGGAGAAACTTTATAATACTAATACAGTAAATTTTTAAAGTATTTTCTACATTATCACTTAGCTGTTAAATATGCCATCAAAAATTAAGGTTTTTGCCATAGGCGTGCACTTGCCAGAGACAGAGAGGGAAAGTGAGAAACCACCCTGGGGGGTGGGGGGAAAGGCGACGCTGCAATCGCTCTCCTTCATTCTTCTCTCAGGTTTTGGGTACACGTGCACATGTACCTGGTGTGATTTTGAGCTGCCAGGTCCAGGATTCGAACCATGGTTGGCCAGTGCCTTAACCACCATGCAACCTATTGGCTCAGAAATTTATCTTAAAGGTATTTAATTTTCTTAGATTAAAATGCTAATAAAATTATTTGCAAAAATGTCAGATGTTTGTAAGTTCCAAACATGAAGTAAGAGAAGAAACACTTACAGGGCTTGAAAGAAGAGGCAATCCTGTTTGAGGATGAAAGGCTCTGGTTGAAGTTCCATCTAAGGAATGAAAATTGTGTTTTCGCCAGGCATTTGAATGTTTCAGTGTAGTCCTCTGTTAGGAAAAGGATAAGACTTAGAGGTAATATTTACTATTATTTGAAGGATTTGTATAGTTTTTTAGTTTTTAAACTCACTCATAATTTATTCTGAGGTGTCACATCCTTAGTGGTAAAGCCACTAAGGGACAGACATACCTATCTATATCCACATTTATGCACACACACATACATCAATTCTAATTGTAAAACAGTGTCTACCTGTTTTGTTTAGTATGCTGAATAAAAGCAAATGTTCTAAAGGACATATGTCTAACTGTAATTGCCTACTCAATATATGCCATGTTTACTCTCACTCACCTCTCTATTAAACTAAAATTTGATTATTCTAATTTGTGAAAAAATTACTACTTAGGTAGAAAAAATTATTATAATGTTCTAACGTAGAAAACTATTTCATTGGGGGGAACCAGCAGTTAGTGTAACGGCTATGTCGCTGGACTCCCACGTAATCGACCCCGGTTCGTGTCCCGGACCCGGTGGCTTAAAACTCATGCCAGGCACGTATGCGTGCGTGCCCAAGATCCTGAGAGGAGAATGGAGGAGAAGGGATTGCAACGTGACCATCCCCCCTGGGGGTGATTTCTCGCTTTCTGTCTCTATGTCTCTGTCTGTCCGGCGAGCGCACACGCCCTATAGTGAAAACCTCTCAAAAAAAAAAAAAAAGAAAGAAAAAGAAAGAAAACAAACAAACAAACAACCAAAAAAAACTATTTCACTGGGGTTGGCAGGTGGTTAAGGGCACTGAATTCCCACATGGCTGACTCTGGTTCGAATCCTGGACCTGGTGGCTTACTTTCCCTCTCTCTCTGTACCTTTCGGGTCAAATTAAAATAAATCAATAAATGAGGTTAAATAAAATAATAATTTTTTTAAAAGAGAAACTATGTCATTATCAAGATCCATTTTCAGAGGATAAAAATTGGAGGCAAATGACAAAGAAATGTAAGAAACAGTGAATTTAAAAAATATATGACTCAATCACAGTACTTTACTTTCCATATGACATAAGAAATGGGCTAATTCCTAGGGGTTAGACAGGTTTATACTTAAAGATCAGAAATTCATAAAAAACACAGAAAAGACTAACTTGGGTCCAGGCTCTACCATTTACTATCTGTCTGACTTTGGGCAGACAAATTACTCAACTGCCCTAGCCTACGGTCCCCTCATCTATAAACTGGAGTTAGTAAAAGTAACTACTCTGAAAGAACAATGAGAGGACTCAGTAAGCATGTGTAAATATTGGGAAGAGTGGCTGGGCATATGGTGAATAATGTATGGTCATATTAAAACAAGCACATGAAAAAAAAGCATGTCAGTGGCTTGAAAAATAGCATGGTCAGATTAAGCCTCCCTATTAGGCACCAGAAAGAAAGACAACAAGCTAAATTTTGTGACAAATATATTGATAGTTTTAGAAAACTGGGAACTACCATTTGATTAAACCCCATATATTAGAGGTTGATCTGCTGGAAAATAAAAGCTGGAAACACGACACAACTTAAAAACATTAATGTAGAGCAAAACTAATCTTAGTTTTAAAGATGTACCAAGGTCATTCAGGTTTGAAGCAAGGTGGTTAAGTAGTTTTGCATGTAACTTGCAATATTTCCTAGAGAAATAAAGGAAGTTTGAGCCTAATAATAATTTTTTTTTGAGAGTTTTTTTGCTATAGGGCACATGCACTCGCCAGACAGACAGAGAGAGACAGAGAAACAGAAAGCAAGAAATCACCCCCCAGAGGGGATGGCCACGCCACAATCCCTTCTCCTCCTTTCTCCTCTCAGGATCTTGGGCACGCACGCACATGCTCCCGGCGTGAGTTTAAGCTACCGGGTCCAGGACTCAAATTGCGGTCAACTACTTGGGAGTCCAGCGACATAGCCATTACACTAACTGCTAGTCCCCGAGCCTAATAATAATTCTTAGAAGTTAAAAACGAGGTTGGTGGGACATCAAATAAAATGGAAATAACTTAAATATCTTTTATTCTTTTTGTCTTGTTTGTTATAGGGAGCATGCACTCACTGAAGAGAAACAGAGAAACAGGGAAAGTGAGTAATCACTTCCCAAGGGGGATGGCCATGCCACAATTCCTTCTTCTCCTCCATTTTCATCTCAGGATTTTAAGCATGCACACACACAACCAGAATATTTTTTAAACCAACGGATCTGGAACTCAAACTGCAAAGAGAGCCCTGTCATATCCAGCTGCCTTAACCATCATGCCCCAGTCTGGCCCAAATATCTTTTATTTATATAATGAATTACAGGGTTGCAAAATATTTCAGAATCTATTATTTTATTGTTACCACAACTCTGAAATAGGCAAAAGAGATTAATCTTACGGCAAAATTGAGGAGACTGAGATTTTTAGAAGTTATATGACTTATTGAGCATTGTTCAAAGACTAAAGTATGAAGCCAGGACTGAAAGCCAGGTTTTGGCCAATAGTTTACTGGCTCCCTTTAGATATTCCTAAAATTATTGACTGGCCAATGGCATGACACTTGTGCAAGGTCAGAGGTGTGAACAAAAACACATTAATATGAGTTTCGTTTCCGACTCTCATTTACTCTCCAAAAATTGTTCATAAGTATTGAAATAAACAAAAAAGAGGAGAATTAAAATGAATCAACAATTGGTGCAATCCACAGATTTGTTCTTTACTATTATGAGGTAATAGAAAAACCCTGGATTACGAGTCAAGAGATTTGGAAGGGAGAGGAGAGAAGGGTGTGCCAATTCAGCCACTGCAGGACTTGCACAGCTATCCACATACATCAGTTATTCTCTTTTAGTCCTAGCTCCCTCATAACTGTCCTACTTGTCCCTGGAGAAGTGATAATGGGCTGGCAGGAGGCATGATGTATGATGTAAGTTAAGGTACTAGATTCTCACATGGCTCACCATGGTTCAAGACCCACCTGGTAGCTTGCTTTCTCACTTTCCCTCTCTCTCTCTCTCTCTGGTCAAATTAAAAAATAATAATAGGGACCAGCAGATGGCATAATGGTTATGCAGCTGGACTCCTTGACTATGCAGGAGTCCTGGACCCAGCAGTTTACAACTCATGCCAGGCATATGTGTGTGTGTTTGTGTGTGTGTGTGAGTGTGTGTGTGTGTGTGTGTGTTTCCAAACTCCCGAGGGATTGGGGCATGGCCATTATCATTTGATATAATTCAAATCAAATTATTATTTCATACATATTATATAGCATTCAGTCTCCTGGATGTATATCTACAGAATAAATATTAGAAACCTAAGTGCTTCTGAATAAAAGCAAAAGTATTAGACTTTTTAGATGGGCCTTTATAATTAGATATCCTGTAGACAAAATTCGAAACAAGCAGTTGAGAATTATAATTTAAATATTGGATGTTACTTACCAGTACCTCTGTATTTTTTGGTTGTTCACATGTAGACAAACAGTCTTGTATACTCTTTCTCTGAGAACAGTTTTGAGATTTTTTATCAATTGGATCTTTCTTATCCAGTTCATTTTTCAAATGGTCTGACTCTTTGCATTTAAAACCTTCATTATCTTTACTGAGATAATTTCCTATGCTATTAGGTTGAGTATTTTGCTCACATGTCTTAGGTCTTTTCAAGTCTTGATTCAAGCAGTTATTTTCACATTTGTTCAAATATTCAGACATTTCCAACATAGTAGCTTTCATTGTTGAGTCAACTTTTCTTGAATTATCAAACTGGAGATTGTTGACAGATTCTGGATTACAGCTTTTATTTTTTATTATTTTTTCCTTATACTTATCTGTGCAGATCTGTTTGTCAATACTGTTACAATCTGAATACTGTTTATCAATTCCGTTGCTAATTTCTGGATCCTTAAATATGCTTGTCAAAGGTAAGTTACTTTCTTTGCAGTGAGATGTAGTTGAGGAAGTCAATAAACTAGATGTCTTGTTCCTTGTCTCCTGACATGTACTTTGTATGATTTCATTACAATTGTTCTGATAATGATTTCTTTTTGGAGGGCTCAGAGAAGTCTTTTCTTTATTACTGCATTTAAAAGAACTAAAATATTTATTAGGTATTAAGTCTTTCCCATCACTGCTGTCTCCTAACAAGGAGCATTTTGTATGAGGAATGGAAACAGAGACATCATCCTTAATTTTCTTCAATAAATTTTGGTCTTCATATGAACCCCTAAACACTTTAGAAGAAACTGAACTTGAGTCATGAATGCCGAATGACTGCCGGGGTACATGTGACGCTGTTGGGTCAATGTGTTCCAAGTGCTGAGCGATCCTAGCAATGACATCTTGCCGATCCTGGAGTAAAGAGCCTATCAAAGGATTAGTCTCTCCAACAGACTGCCGAGAAAAAAGACCGTTAGAGAGGCAAGTTTCGCTTCGAGGAGTTTCTGGTTTTGCTCGAATTTTCCCTTCACTGGTGTCTTCTAAGGAGGGAAAATCTGGACTACCAAGAGAAATGGAAAACATTTCTCTACATTTTCTCACATTGTCATTTTCTTGTGAAACCCGTAGAAGTTTTGAATTAAGAGAACTAGACTCCTGAGTGTTGAATGGATGTCCCGAAACATGTGAAGTGCTTGGATCGCAGTGAATCAAATGCTGAGCAATTCTTGCAATGACTTCTTGTCGCTCCTGAATTAAAGAACCTATTAAAGGGTTAGTTTCACCAACTGACTGCCAGGAACTGTGGCGGTTAGATACACTGGAGTCAATCATTGAAAATGACTTTAACGTTCTCACTGATGTTTCATGGGGCTTTATATCTCCTATGTCACTAAAGCCCGAAATACTAGTTTGAGGTGCCCCATAATCAGTTTTACTGCCAGTGCCCGGATGTAGTTTGACATTTTTGATGGCTGCAGTATATTCTGGAGGTGTGCCAGTTTTTGCATGTAATACACTTTCAGGCGCCATGGTCCAGGTTTGCTTGCTACACAGACGCTGTGAACTGTTCGTACTACAATGTTCTGCTTCGTTAGAACTGTGATGTTGATGGGTTTTAAGTTCATGTTCTTGAATTCTTTTCTCATAAAGACCAATGTTAGTATGAATACTGCAGGTCAAAACTGGGTAATTAGATTGTCTGGGCAAGGACTGAACGCTGACTTTCAAGGCCACATTGTGAGAAACATTGGGAACAGGAAATACATGTTCAATGGGAGTCTGTGAAAAATTCCACTGTAGGTCTACATCAGCAGCACTGATTCTAGAATCACAAGGAAAAACACCAAATCAATAAATTATAAAAGTTGTATCCTTATTATTACACATTACTGTGAAGCATTCAGATACCTGTGTTTGTATTCATTTCCACTCAGGTTTACTTTTAGTCACTTTTCCATGCATATCATTCTAATAAAATTAGCATAAGTGGTAAAACATTGGAAGAGATGATTTTTTTTTTTTTAATTGCCAGAGGGTGTGTTGACTAGAGATGAAAAGATGGGAGGCAGTGGTTTGGGGGAAGGGAGGAAACACTCCCCCCAGTAGGGTATGGTTGTGCTGCAATCCCTTTTCCTCCATCTCTCAATATTCATGTTGGGATTTTTGGTTTGTATGCATACCTGCCTGGCATGTTTTTCCAAGCTAATGGGGCAGGGATTCAAACCATGGTCAGGCATGTGGGATCCCACTCCCTCAACCACTAGGCTATAGGCCAGCCCAAGATGAACTTCTGTTTAAGAACACCAGACTAAACAAAGAAGAATACCAGACTATGGGGCTAGCAGGTGGCATGGTGAAGGTGCTGGAACTCCCACAGGGCGGACCATACTTCAAATTCCAGAGCCAGTGGCTTTAAACTCATGCCAGACATGTGTGTATGCATGACCAAAATCCTAAGAGGAGAATGCAGAAGAGGAGATTATGGCATGGCAATCTCCCTGGGGGATGATTTCTCACTTTCCCTTTCCCTGTTTCTCTCTGGTAAGCTCATGTGCCCTATGACAAAAACTTTAAAAAAAAAAAAGACTACTATGTATTAAAGCTCATGAATATTGTAATTTGAAAATATTTGCTGGGTCCAGCAGATGGCGTAATGGCTATGTTGCTGGATTCCCATGTAGTCAGCTGTGGTTCGAGTCCTGGATCCAGTGGCTTAAACTCTTGCCAGGCGCATGTGCGTGCATGCCCAAGATCCTAAGAACAGAATGGAGGAAAAGGGATTGCAGTGTGGCCATTCCCCCTTAGGGGTGATTTCTCACTTTCTGTCTCTGTCTCTCTGGCGAGCTCACACGCCCTATAGCAAAAACCTCTCCCCTTCCCCCCCAAAAAAAAGAAAATATTTGTTAAAAAAAAAAAAAGAATAATGACTTTGTATTTACTAGTAAACAAATGAATTCATTCAATTCTGTTGTGATTAAAAGATACTATATCTCAGGGCCACCTGCCAAAGGAGATAATTAGTTATTCAGTCCCTATATAATCACATTTTTCAAGGTGCCAAAAATTAAATAAGACTATCATTACAAAAATTTAGCAGTCCAATAAACATTTCCACTTTCCAACAGTAGCGTTAAGTTCATTTGTGGTTCTCTACAGTGAGCTTAAAAAGTTCTCTGAGGGGTCAGCAGGCAGTGTAGTGGTTAAATGGGCTAGACTCCCATGTGGTCAACCACAGTTTGAATCCTAGACCCAAATTTTTGCTATTTTTGCCCTATAGCAAAAATCTCTCAAAAACAAACAAAAATTCTCTGAATACTATTCTATACCAATTTAACTAACAAGGAAAATTCATACTGTTTTAATCTAATCTCTCTAATTTGTTTTGAGAAAAACCTAAGTAATAACCACTTATATTTAGAAATAAAGGAAACAAACTATTTAGAGGATAAAATATAATCCGTAGCTAACCACCGTTGTCCCCTTCCTGCCATAAACATACCTGTAAAGAATATTTCGTGGAATAGCACCATGGGAAACACTCAGCCAAGCACTTAACTGAGAAAAGAACACGAATGAGCGGACAGCCAACAGAAGACTCTTCTCTTCAATAAATCGATCACCATTCCTAAGGGAAGCAACAAAGCGTAACTTAAATATCAGCAAGTACAAAATGACCAAGTGTTAGAAAGGAAGAAGCTGAAAAAAAACATAGTACTCAGGATGTACATTTCAAGGGAACAGGGGGATCACTCGCCAATGTTACTTAAAGTCACAAGCACTAAACAAACTATCTCAATTACTATACGAATAGATTCAAAGGCATTATTAATTTTTAAAATAATTATTTTATTTAACTTTCTTTATTCATTTATTTATTTTAATATGAACAGAGAGGATCAGATTGAGATAGGCGGGGGGGAGAGGGAGAGGGAGAGGGGGAGAGAAAGTGAGAAAGCAAAAATGCAAGCTGCTAGGTTTGGGATTTGAGTGGTGATCAGCCATGTAGGAGTACAGCACCCTTAACCAACATGCCACCTGCCAGCCCCTCGAAGGCATGATTAAGATGATTTATAGGAAGTAACAGGAACTCTGATTTACCAGGAATAACGTTAAACTAAGTACAACAACTTACTGTCGAGGAACTGGCTCCAAGATCCACCTTTCTAACAACAAAGCATCTTGCTTAATTGCAGGATCATTGAGATCAAGTCCTTCCGTGGTGGGCCCATCATCACTATAGCAGCAGTCTGGTAGAAGCATCACTTCCACCATGATTGGAAGACTCTTCTTCCACAGCAATGTGACCTCAGACCTGGTTCGTCTGGCTTGGCGACACTTAAAATGAACAGAATAAAAGGTCTCCATAACCCATCTAACTTTATATTTAAGCTTGAATATTATAATCATAAAGCAGACATCTGTATGAGAAATGAGTCATCTATTGCAGAGCTTTGCTCAGGCCTGGTTAATATTTAGGCTTCTTCATTAAATAATGGATTCATGCTACAGTGCAGGGATTAGTAATGAACATTTATAACGCAAATCTCCTGGGAGAGGATCTTTGCTCTACCTTGTGGGAAAAAGAATTGCCGTATACCAAATACGACAGGCTTTTGAGTTGGCCCAGCCTTGCCTAGTTAACTCCACCATCATCTCATAGGCAAGATTAATTCTTAAATGTGAAGACCAAAATAAACACTCAAAATAGATAGGATTTTTCTAAAGTTTAAGAATGTTCTGTGTTTGAGAAACTAAAGGTAGCTGGAGCTCTTTCAAGAGCCTTTTTAAGAGCCAAGGTTATTAGCTATAGCCCAGCATTAGAAATTTTTTCTTTAAGATTATGACCAAGTTCATATTTAAATGTGAAAATCATAACTTGTGGTATGGTAAAGGTGATGACAGAATTTAAATTAGTTTACCTTAAAAACAAATAAAAAGGATTTAACACAATTCTCACCTGGGCCAGTTTGTCATTGCATTCATGTTTGGTAGTTACTGGGTAACACGACTGTGCTGGAGGGCAATGGAAACTTTCCGTTCGACCTTTTACAGAACATTCAGGTGTTCGTCCTTCTGTTATTAGCAAGGCCAAAGAGACCAAGAACTCCTCCGCATCATATTCAAAGTACTCATCTAGCGTATCTGGCATTAAAAAAAAAGAGAGAAAGAAAAGGGTCATTATTTTAATGTACTCTTCTTTTAAAAAAATTATTTTTAACTTAATTTACTTACTTGATTGCTATAATGTACATGAACTTAACAGAGAGAGACAGAGAGACAGAGAGAGGGAACGTGAGAAAGCAAGTCAGCAGGGGTCAGAGACTCGAACTGCAGTCTGCTACGTAGGAGTCCAGCCACCAACCATGATGCCACCTGCTGGTCCCAATGTAATCTTCTAAAAATATTTTTATCATTATTATTATTATTTTAATTTGACCAGAGAGACAGAGAGAAAAGGAAAGTGAAAAGCACGTCTCCAGATCTAACACTTGACCCATGGTCTGTCTGCCACATGGGAGTCCAGTGCCCCAACCACCACATTCCCTGCTGACCTCCCCCCCCCCAATGTGCTCTTAATATAAACTCATCTGGAGAATAGCAGTTAGCATAATGGCTAAGTTGCTAGACTACCATGTAGTCAACCGCTGTTCGAGTCCTGGACCCGGTGGCTTAAACTCACTCTGGGCGTGTGTATGTGCGTGCCCAAGATCACGAGAGGAGAATGAAGGAGAAAGGATTGCGGCGTGGCCATTCCCCCCGGTGGGGGGAGGGGGGCGGTGATTTCTCGCTTTCTGTCTCTGTCTCTCTCTGTCTTTCTGGTGAGCGCGTGTGCCCTATAGCAAAAAACTCTCCAAAAAAAACCCAAACAAACAAAAAACCTCATCTGATATGCCCAAAATAAATAATATCGCATTTCACATTCAATTATGTTTGTCAACACAGAGTAAAAACCCAATAAAAATGAGAATCAAAATAAACTCCTGATTCACGAAGTACAGAGAAGGGAAAACTTGATGGATAATTCCAAACTCCATTTAAACAGAACCGATTGAAATTATGGCATAGAATTGTTCCTACATCAGCACACATTAGTAGCCTAGAGGTTAAAATGTTTATGTCATTTAGTTAAGATGTTTTACTGTCTTATGTCCATTACTACATATCAGAAAGAGATGTAGATTGAACTGCAGGCTTTTCTCTCTCACTCCCTCTCCCTTCCTTAACTAATCCTTGCTCTCACAGAACACATTCTGTGATAGACACATCAGTCATGGGGTCCTCTATGCCTTTGCCATACAGAAATAAATGTTTCAGAGGGAGAACTGCTGTATCAGGCAGTGTAAGGAGAAGGCCTCTTCTGCAATATATGGATTGTGATATTCTGGTTATTACACAGTCCTAAACAAGCTAACCTACGAATACTTTCACTTAGTTGTGGTCATTTAAAATTTTCTAGTAAATGCACTATTCTGTTTGTTTGTGTTTTAGGTTTACACACATAGGGTACGTGTGCTTGCTGGAGACAGGGACAGAGTGAAAGAGAGAAATCACTCCATGGGGGGATGTCCAGGTAGCAATCCCTCCTCCATTCTCCTCTTGGGATTTTGGGCATGCACACACACCAGGTGTGAGCCTCCAGGTCTGGGACTCAAACCGTGGTCAGCCATGTGGGAGTCAGGACCTTAAGCACAATGCCACCTGCTGGCTGCAGCACTATTTTCTTTTTTTTTTTTTTTTATTGCCAAACGGTGCAATTATATTTTAACTTTTTAATTGCCAGAGAAGAGAGGGAGAAAACACTTCCCAATGGGGTGCGGGGTCATGCCTTAATCACTTCTTTTCCACCTTGCCATCCTGTTAGGATTTGGGGCATGCACATGCATGTACTCAATGTGTCTTTCAAATCAATGAGCCCAGGATTTGAATTATGGTTGGTCATATGGGACCTGGCTCCCTTAACCACAAACTATGGGACTGGCCCAAGAGCTCTAATTTTTGGATGGTTAAGTTTAAAAAGCATTGACCTATGGGACCAGCAGATGGCGTAATGGTTATGTCACTGAACTCCCACGTAGTAGGTAGTAGATCGCACACGGCCTTTGAGTCTCAGACTGAGCAGCTGGATGCGTGTGTGCCCCAAGATCCCAAGAGAAGAATGGAGAAGGGACTGAGGGGTGGCCATGTCCCATGCGGGGATGATTTCTCACTTTCTACTTTCCGTCTCTCTGGTGAGCACATGAGCACTATAGCAAAAATCTCCTAAAAAAAACAAAAACAAAAACAAAAACAAACAAACAAACAAAAAACCAAACAAAAATACACAAAAAAAACATTGACCTGCAGAGCAGGACAATTTCTAGAGCAATCTTGAAAAAGTTCCTCTTATCACTGCCAATTAAACAACAAATATGTAAAGTGCCTACTACACTGTATTAAGCAACAGGGGGTCAGAGTTGCAATGCATATAGTTCCCACTTCAAAGGCTTTATGACTCAGAGATTTTTTTTTTAAGAGAGATTTTTGTCACAGGGTGCGTGTGCTCACTGGAGAGAGAAAGAAAGAGAGACAGAAAGCGAGAAATCACCCCCAGGGGGGATGGCCACACCACAGTCCCTTCTCCACTCTCTTCAAAGGAGCTTGAACATTCATGCACATGTGTGTGAGTTTTAAGCTGATGGGTCTAGGACTCAAATTGCCCCTGAGGGGCATCAATGCCACTATCTCATCTCCTTCAGACTCCTCTCAGGATTCTGGGCCTGCACGAACATGTACTGGTGTATTTTTCACGGTGCCAGGACTGGGACTCAAATCACACAGCTGGCCATGTGGGATCCAGCTTCTTAACCTTTACGTCAACTGCTGACCTCTAGATTTTATTCTAAAGGGAATTAAGAAGCCATGGAGGGTTTTAACCAGAGAAATGACATGACCTGATATACATTTTTAAATGTTCACCCTGGCCGCTAGCAATAACAAAAATTAGAAGAAAGAAATCAAAGTAGGTTTATTAATTAGGAGGTTGTAGTTGGCCTAGAGTTAAGAGTTACAGAGAAATATATAGATAGTGGAGAGCAGGCAATTCATGACAAAGCCCTGGGGCACTCCAACAAGTACAAGAAGAACCTGCCAAAGAATTATCAGAGGGCCCCAGATGGCGTGGTGGTTAGACACTGGATTCCCACATGGTCAACCATGATTTGTGTCCTGGATCTGCCAGCTTGCTTTCTCGCTTTCCCTATCTCTCTGTCTCTATCTAGTCAAATTAAATAATAATAACAACAAATGGAATTAAATAAATAAATAAACAATTCTTTTAAAAAAAAAGAATGATCAGGTATAGTATAGTGGAAACCATGAGGAAAAAAAATGTTTCAAGCAGGGTATGGTTGATGGTCTCAGACACTGGCAAGGGTTAAGAAAATATAGACAAAGAAGTGAAGTATGGGTTTGACATAAGAAAGTCAATGGTCACTTTGACAATAGCAAGCTCAGTCCATGGTGATGATGGAAGATTGGACAACATGACATACATTGTCGATTATCCCATAGAATATAAACGATAAATACAAAAGCCTACTTTTTTGGTTCTGTGTTAGTACAATGGCCATTCATGTATCACAATAGCCTTTTCTAGAAAAGCAAGTAATATCACCACTTATATAGAATTATTTCAAAATCCAAAAAAGGATTTAAAAAGGTCAAACTTTTTTGCTTCTTTAGGCCTATGGGACAGGTACCAGAAGATCCTCTTCTTCCAGGATCCTAAAATTTATCCTACGAAGTAGTTTTTAAAAATTTTTCCTGTAATTAAGCTCTCTCTCTCTCTTTTTTATCCTCAGAACCGTTACTTATTTAGGCTCTTACTGCTACTACTCTCTACCTGAATTACTAAGACAGTCTATTGCCTAAGACTCTAAGCTTCTACTTGTCCATCTTGCATCTTTTTTTTTTTGAGAGGTTTTTGCTATAGGGCACATGCACTCGCCAGAAAGACAGAGAGAGACAGAGAGACAGAAAGCGAGAAATAACCCCCCAGGGAGGATGGCCACACCACAATCCCTTCTCCTCCATTCCCCTCTTGGGATCTTGGGCACGCATGCACATGCACCCGGCTTGAGTTTAAGCCACCGGGTCCAGGACGCGAACCATGGTCGACTACATGGGAGTCCAGCGACATAGCCATTACGCAACTGTTGGTCCCGCTTGTTTTTTTCTTTAGATTAAAAAAAAAGAAAAGAAAAAAGTGCTAAAGGATGCATGTGCTCACCAGAGACAGAGCAAGAGAGACATAGAGACAGAAATAGAGATGGAGAAAGCAACCCCCTCCCATGTCATGCTGCAACCCTTCTCCTCCATGTCTCCATCGGGCTGGAATTTGGAGCACACATGCACATACACTTGGTATGTTTTCAAGCCTCTAGGGCCAGAATTTGAACTGCAGTTGGCCATGTGGGATCTGGCTTCTTTAATCACTAGGCTATAGAACTGGCCCATAGTTTTCATTCTTTACAGATGAAAAAATAAAAAGTATGGAAATAATGTATTTATTTATCTTTAAATTGTACTGAAGTATCCCTCAGGAAGCATGGATTATGAATATTTGAAAGAGCAACTTCAGGCAAAAAAGAGAAGTATCAAAGCTCAGATGAGTCTGTATCATCCTAGGACAATACGTGACCTTTCATGTAAACTTAAATGAACACTTTTATATTAAACATTTTAATGTCTGAAGCATACATAGACTTACAAGTTCTGAAAGCCTGAAAACAGGCCTGATTAACTACTGGGAGAAGGGAAAAGTGTTTCTATAATATCGTTTGCTACTGGACTTGTATTAAAAGTGAAAAATTAAGCAAGAAGTACAATTCTTATACTTGGCATTCTCAAAGTCTACTAACAATAACCTTGTTTCTCATACAACATCTAGTACCAAGTAACTTGGACAAATTTCTCTGGACTAGACTACTGAATATCTATATTAAGTTTCTATACTTTGGAAACATGCCAGAATAAGAGTCTCTAATAAGAGGACATTATATAGTGTGATGGCTTTCAACATTCTAAAAATACAGCAATCTAGGAAATATCAACTTAGTGCCTGACAGGTTTCTGTTTGTAAAAGGACTTGTGTACTGAAAATA